GGGAACGGGAAACTCCGCCAGTGGCTGATCGACCAGATCGACAGCGGCAAGTACCCGGGGCTGGTGTGGGAGAACGAGGAGAAGAGCATCTTCCGCATCCCCTGGAAGCACGCGGGCAAGCAGGACTACAACCGCGAGGAGGACGCCGCGCTCTTCAAGGTCACCGTCACTCGGGGAGCCCTCGGGAGGGCAGGGGCGAGAGCCCCACAGAGCCCGGCTGGTCCCTGGCCCCGACCCTGCCGCGCGCCAGGCCCGCGCCCCACGCGCGTGGCCGTTCTCGAAGGGACCCGACCACAACGGGGCGCGCGCGACGGGGTGACCCCCTCCGCAGGGCGGGCGGCCGGGAGAGAGCCTCAGGTGGCAGAAGGGGAGGAGGTTCCAACCTCTCGGGGGGGTTGCACAGACCGGGAACCGAGCAGCACCCGGGGAGTCAGAGGGCTCCGAAAGCAGGGGAAGCCCTGGAGGATGAGCGGGGATGCGGTTCCCTCACAGCCTGTTAGATCCCGCTCTGCCGCCTCCTGTCCACGTGTGTCTGTCTTTTTCTGTATGCGTGGGTGTTGTGCTCCAGTCTCTCTCTCTCTCACTGTCTTTCTTTCTCTGTTTTGCAGTTTTTCTCTGAGTCTCTCTGGATTTTTCCCCTTTGGTTCCATCTCTCTTCTCTCCCATTCTAGCTCTCTTTGGGCACTTCCATTTCCATCTCTCTGTGTCTCTGCCTGTCCAACTCTCTCTTTCCAAGTCTCTCTGGAAATCTCTCTCTCTCTCTTTCTCTCTCGTCTCTTGACTTCTGGGCCTTCCTCTTGATCTTTCTCTCTCCCTTGCCCACTTTCTGCGCGTGTCCCTGTCGTGAGTGCTTTCCCTAGAGCAGTTTACCCAGGGAACTGTGTGCTGTGGCCCAGCCCCCACCTGTGGGCAGAGCGGGGCAAGGGGACTTCCTCTGGGAATTTGCTTTCAGAGTACCTCAGATTGTGTGGCCGTGCACGTATTCTCTGTGGGCAGCTGCGCACCCCACAGCTCTGTCCCTCGTCACAGTCCAACTCACTCCAGACATGGGGTGGGTAGAGCCCGCTCTAGGGGCCTCCGCATTTCACCCCACCTTTTATGAATACCCAGAAAAAGTTCTAACCACTCACCCTCAAGTTAGCAACGATAAGGTGCAAGGTGAAAAAGATTTTACCCAGAGGACACCTGGTATCTTTCTGTCTCACGTTTTTAGCAACAGGGTAAATCTGAAGCACATAAGCACCCTTCTTTCTTTTAATAACACAATTCCCAGGTTCTTTTTTTTTTTTTTTTTTTTTTTTTTAACAGGACTTGTATTTTGACTTTTTGTTCCCTTCATTCTTTTCTTCCAGGCTTGGGCACTATTTAAAGGAAAGTTCCGGGAAGGCATCGATAAGCCGGACCCTCCCACCTGGAAGACACGTTTACGATGTGCTCTGAACAAGAGCAATGACTTTGAGGAGCTGGTTGAGAGGAGCCAGCTGGACATCTCAGACCCTTACAAGGTGTACAGGATCGTTCCTGAGGGAGCCAAGAAAGGTAGGCGCTCTCCTGCATTCGAGTCACAGAATAGAGGCAGCTGATACTTGTCCCTTGATTTCAATCTGGAGGCCACTTTCCATTTTTGCTTTTGTAGAGCCAGCCTGCCTTCTGCCTCATGTTCAAGGCCAGCAGGCTTCTTGCCCAAGTTGTAGTCTGGGTCATAAGCTGAAATTCTTGTGGTATTAGGGTAGGCTGATTTCTCACACTCCGAGCCTTTGTGTGCGTGTGTGTGCATTGAGTGTGTGTTTTACAGTTCGTAAGTTCTATTAAGGTATGGGCCAGATTTCCAAACAAAAACTAGTAAAGTTGTTAAGTCTTTCCTTATCTGCCAGTCTTAGTAACAGTTTTGTAGAAGGAAAGCATACATTCGTGTATTGTTACTATTTATAATAAAAAAAAAAGGTCAACTTTTAGAGTGTGATATGGTCAGCTGGGGGGCTTATTAAAATTCAGATTCCTGGGCCCCTCTTTCCACAATTCTGGCCAGTGTGTCTAGAGTAAAGGAAGGAATCTGCATTTTAAACAAGTCATATAGGCGACCTCACTTGGGAAGCATCTTGCTGTGGTCACAAGGCACATTCACACACAGCATTTCACCTGCTTCTCTACCTGTCTTGCACAAGGCAGACATTGTAGAACTCAGTTTAATGGTGTGATAAATAACTGCCTGAGGGAGTTGCAAAAATGCCTTATTTGTCAGCAGCACGCTATGCATTCTAAGAATCAAACCCTCAGGTATTTTTTTTTATCCTTGACATTTAGTTAAGTCAGTTCCTTTTTTCACTCTGTGCCATTTCCATCTTCCCCAAACATGCAGGAGCAAAGCAGCTTACTCTGGAGGACCCACAGATGACCATGAGCCACCCCTTCACCATGACGGGCCCTTACGCCTCACTCCCAGCCCAGGTATGGTGAGGGTGCTGGACTTCCAGAAGGCCAGGCTGGTCTGTGTGAGGCCACACAGCAGGAGAACACACAAATTCAGCACAAGTTGGGATTTGCTGCAACTAGCCCAACAGCCAACCCAAATCCCTGGTCACAGAATCAGTGTCTCACTTTCCATGTGGCATTGCTGTTGGTGTGGGTTAAGTCAGGGAGCAAGTGTCTGCCTGTTGGAATATGCTTCTTTTACTGATTCTCGCTTCTACTGGGAAATAGACCTTTTGTGGAAGTCGGAGATTTTGGAAGTAGTGCTTTATCATGTGAAACCGCAGAGCAGCTGATCTCTTCAGGCTTTCCTGATGTGAATTACAGCTCTGTCTTATTCACTTTGGTGGGTAAAAGAAGGCAAACTTCCCTGCAGTACTTTTGGTGCCAGGTTTTACCATATGATGAAGCTTCACATAAAGCGTTACTCTGCAACACTGTCTCCATTGTGCTTCCGATCCTCTGTGGCTAGTTTCCACCTAGTGTGACACGCCACTCACTCCAGCCTTTTCAGAGGATAAAATGATTTGGCTGCCAGCCAAATAGGGATTCCCTCAGGAGTTTGGGAGGCTATAAAGGTGCCCCTGCCCCTGCCAGTGCTTTTCATCTGAGCTCCTCCTGTGTTCCTTCAGCAGGTTCACAACTACATGATGCCACCCCACGACAGAAGCTGGAGGGATTATGTTCCCGACCAGCCACACCCGGAAATCCCGTACCAATGTCCTGTGACCTTCGGACCCCGCAGCCACCACTGGCAAGGCCCAGCTTGTGAGAATGGTAAGGAGGGTGCCAGAAGAATCATTTTCGTTATCATTCTGAAAGTGATCCAGAAGCACTGACCTGCCTGCGGTGGTGAGTCCTGGTCTGCCTTCCTGGACGGTGCCACCACTCTTTCCCCTACTCAGAGGCTGCTGGAAAGAGCTCGTGTGCAGTGAAGGGGAGAGGGAGGGTGTTCTCTGTCCTGCAGGATGGCGAGGTCTGCAGAGCCAGGCTTACTCTCAGAACCCTTGCTAGGCCCTGCCCTGCAAAGGGCCCTATCTCACCACAGACATCATTCCAGGCAGCTAGAAATGGCCCCATCTTTTAGTAGAGGAGATCAAGGGAGTTCACAGGATGCAAGTAACATGCCTAAGCTATCCAGTGAGAGTGAAGGGCTGGGCTGCAATGCCAGATCCCTAAAGCTATGCCCAGCCTTCCACTGCACACCAGGGCGAGGCAGGCGTCAAGCCAGTTGTCTGTTTTTTTCATGTTGTCTGGTGAACGGTTAAGATTTTTCATCCTCTCCGAGTAATCCTAAGCATCATTTGTAGTCTTAGGCAAAAAGCAATGGATTTTGGCTTTCTTCCTTCCTGGGTTGTCCCTGAATGCTGAGCAAGGGCCACACGATGTCACTGATATGTGTGTGCCTGCCCATCTGCGAAGTGGGCACTCTACAGCTATGCCCAGGCCCTCCCTCTGCAGGGACCAGGAGATTATCGGCTACTGTATTTCTCTGAAATAGTGGTGTGTCCACAGTAGTTGTTCTTGGTATTACAGGTGATAACGAGAATGAAGAATAAACACCATGAAAAACACATAAACCATCTCCACAGGTGCCTGGCTAGTTCTGGGTCCCAAGGAGACCTGCTCATTCTGGATCAGATGTGGTCCCACACCTCACCAGTTCCTCAGACATCAAGTGACATCTCTCAGCAGAAGCACTAATTAGCTAGGTGCAGAGAGAATCTCACAAGGTGTGTTCAGGGCAGCAAGACACAAGCTTTTAGGACTTCTGAGAGTTATTTAAACAGAAGTCCTGAGACAGGACCATACACTGATCCTTTTGTGTGTTCTAGGATTATCTGCTTCCTCACAATTCAGTCAGCCCCTGTCTCTAGTCAGACTCAGGCTGTTACTGGGTCTGGTGCTGAGGAAGTACACTGTTACTGAATGTTGGTACTGAGTGACATGTTTACAGAAAAACTCAGAATTCATTCTATTAGCTCGTCAAGAGTGGTTTACGACAAAGGTTGGTTTTCCATATAGTAGTGGAGAAATCAGCTGATGTTAACCTAGATTCTGAAATTCAGGCTAGTGTCAAGTGCACCAGGCCTTGCTGAACTAATAGCCAGAGCAAAGAGGCATGCTCTGAGCTGTGCAGAGGGACGGGACAGGTGTAGACATTTTGCAGCACAGGCAATGCTAAATGAAACACCAGCAAAATTAGACCCTGTTACATATTCTTTTTCTGCTCATGTTTAATGCAACACAGCGACTGTGCTGCTGAGAAGCATGGTTCAGCTTTTTCCTGAACCAGAAATAACAAGTAAAACAAATGTGGACTGAACAATTTGTTCATTTCAGTCGGACTCTCTGGTGTCAGAACTCAGCACATAGACCTGAGCTCTCAGCTCTGCTGTGAACTTGCTGTGTGAAGACGGGCAAATCACTTCATCTCTTGCTGGGCCTCAGTTTCCCTGTTTGGAGAGAGAGCTCTGAGTTTCCTTCCAAAACTGTGCAGTGGCTCCTTCCTCCTTCCACCTTGGTTTTCCCACCGGACATCGGCTTGCCTTTAGCTCACAAGAACATGCCCCGCCAGTCGGGTAGTGCTGGGCGTGGGTTGGAAGGTGGGCGGGGCACTGGCCCTTCCTTCCGAGGCTTATGCAGCCCCAGGCAGCCTCCCAGTGGCCTGTGTTTAGACATCATCTGATTTTTATTTGAAATGCAGGTTGCCAGGTAACAGGAACCTTTTATGCTTGTGCCCCACCCGAGTCCCAGGCTCCTGGAATCCCCATAGAGCCAAGCATAAGGTCTGCCGAAGCCCTGGCGCTCTCAGGTGAGTGCAGCATGCGGTTCTGGAGGCACGTGGGAGGCTGGCCTCTCCCTTCACCTTGGGTTACATTTGATGGGGATTTCATTCAGCGGCTTTGCTCTCCCTGGGTAGACGCATCCTGTCACCCACCTTGTGTGGCTACCATAGTGAATAAGGATCACCATTAAAAACAGCCTGAGAAGGCAGACTGTTGTTCTGTTGACAGATACAACACGGGTTTGATGGAGGCATTTTAACTTGCACACTGGCACCTGTTAGAATTTTCAGGCACGCACAGACGCTCTGGTTTCCTTCACCAAGGCCCCTCGTCGGCCAACATCCTCACAACGTAGAATAACTTCTTAGGAAAGGAGAAGAGCTCCACATTTTGAGAAGCTGATTGTTCTCATAATTTAGCCATACACAGGTCTTCCTCATCTGCTTGAAGGGGAAGGTGTTTCTGGCCCCTTGCCTCCATATGTCCATATGCCTAAAAGTAATGTAGATTTTGCTTTTCCTCTGAACTTTGATATGACTTACAAGCAAATATGGCCTCAGTCCTATCTTTAAGTTCCAATCCTAAAAGAATCTCTGCCCCACTGCAATCTTATCTGTTTTCAGGAAGGCACCTCGAGAAGTATATGTGGTATATGTGTATTTATGTTTTAAATAAAACTAGGGATTTTTGAAATGGAAGTTGTATTTATGTTCAAAATGAATAGCTTAAGCTTTGGAATTCTCACCTGGCCCCCTGGCCTCTGTGAAAATCAGCAACAGATAACATAAACCAGATTCTGGAGTTTCAGGGAGAGAGCTGCGGAGCTTTTCTTGCTCACAGGGGAGCAGGAGTTTCACCTCCCTGTTGTCCTCAGTTCTGAAGTTCTGGATGAGGCATGTGCTTTTCTTCTGACATGCTCACGAGTAACCGAGATGTCTGCTAGGAGGCTCTTCTAGGCAAGAAGCTCGTGTTTGTTTTTAGAAACTTTCTAACCCTTTTCTTGAGCATCTAAAACTTGTGTGGGTGCCTGAAGAGTAGGAAATAAACAGTTATTTATATCACTGCAACCGCGTGATTTCTGATGACATTAAATGAAATGAAACCTGCCCTGCGAGTCACCTCGATGGCCAACACCCACTCTCATGGGGTGTGCCTCTGACGCTCTCAGGAGCACCGGAACAGAGGATGGAGACAGTGGTGTGGGTTCAGTCTCAAAACCTGCCATTGAGGGATAAGAGGGTTTTGTGGGTTTCTTTTTTGTATGCATAATACAGATTATCAATTACCTTGAGCACATGTCTTAGAGAGCTGTAATTCCAGTTCATTCTGAATCCCATGCAGTCACCTGCAGGTAGCCATCTCCTTTCTATGCTGTCATGTTGCATTTCAGCTAAGGAGCCCTTTGCAAGCCTAGCTGGGTCCTTTCGGTCTGTGGGTGATATTTTGAAAAGGTTTCTAAAATCAGTCAAATTTTTGTTAATGAATTAATCTTGTTGAAAGTTTTAGAAAGCACAGTTTTAGAATTATTTTCAAGCCTAGTGGGATTTCAGCAGACTTTAACTGTTGGTCCTAACAACGTTTTACTCACTGATGTATTTTTTCCACAAGAATTAATTTTATGATAAAAGCAGCACATAACCAGTGTTAAAAATCAGAAAAATAAAAATGGAAAAATAAAAACATCACATTCCACCACCCAGCAATCAATCACTATTAAGGTCTTACCCTTACACACACGCACGCATGTGCGCGCACGCACACACACACACACACACACACCTATATATGTTTATGATTTTTTTTTTAACCTAAAGGATCTGTGGCCATGGACTCGTTTTTGGAGGGGAGGGGAGCATGTCTTTCATTAATTTTCTGCAAAAATATGTTTAACTGTGATATTGATAGAATAGTTTCATATATGTGGATATACTTGCTTTTTTCCTGAAACACCATTATATTTTTTGGTGGTAGAAATTAAACTTCAGGTACACCTTTTCCAAAACCAAAGTTGATCTGTTAAAAGATGAATTCTCATTCAATGACACGACTTAGTATTTTGACTACTGTCATCCCCATCATCAAAAAGATGATGTAGTCAGTACTTAATAGAGATGCTCTGTAATACGAGTTAAACATATTTTGCAGATAATTAATGAAAGATATGCTTCCCCCCGCCCCCCATAAAAAGAGTCCGTCATCACATAAATTTGGAAAATGCTGTGTTAGACCAAGTAAATAGGTTTCTTTTCATGGGACGTCTCTAAGAGCTGAGTGCGCACTCTCTGTGAGTCCCCGGCAGGACATATGGTCGCACAGCATTTCCTGGACTTACTTGAATGTTTTTTTTTCTCATGGAGCATCCTGAGACACAGGGTTCCACCAAATGCATTTGGCTCTGGTAGAGTGATTTGGTATCTGGCAGTGTCCTTTGTCCCTTGGCCCTGACTCAGGAGCTGTGTGTTTCCAGACTGCCGGCTGCACATCTGCCTGTACTACCGGGAGATCCTGGTGAAGGAGGTGACCACATCCAGCCCCGAGGGCTGCCGGATCTCCCACGGACACACCTACGATGCCAGCAACCTGGACCAGGTCCTGTTTCCCTACCCAGAGGACAATGGCCAGAGGAAAAACATTGAGAAGCTGCTGAGCCACCTGGAGAGGGGCGTGGTCCTCTGGATGGCCCCCGATGGGCTTTATGCCAAAAGACTGTGCCAGAGCAGGATCTACTGGGATGGGCCCCTGGCACTGTGCAGCGACCGGCCCAACAAACTGGAGAGAGACCAGACCTGCAAGCTCTTTGACACGCAGCAGTTTTTATCAGGTGACACCCCTCCCTATCTGTTAGAATGGAGGTGGTGAGGGTGTGCTCGATGGGGTGTCAGAGTGACAGGGTCCCTGCTACCCTATACAGAGGTCTTCCTCCTGTTAACCCTGAGCCCACTGGGTTCGCTCCCAGCATAAGCTTCCTGTCTGGTTCAGGACTCACCTGTTTGTGTCAACGGCTCCCGTCCGTCTGTCAGTAGAGGGTCACGAGGAGGTCCCGATGGGATGGGCCAGGCTGGACTGTGGCTCAGTCTGACATCTTGAAATTCTGATTTTCAGCAGTCATCTCTTCACAGGGCTCCATGCGGTTGGCAGCATGATCTCAGCCATCGTGTCTGCTGATGTTTCAGCTCTTTTCAGGTTCCTAGAAAAATCGTAAAGGTTAGGCTATATTGTTAACCTTCTTAGTTATGAGATGTGTCATCCCCGAGCAGACGCTGCTCCGCACGTGGGGCCAGGGTGAGAGTGTGCTGAACTGATTCTGCAAAGGGGACATGGCGAGAGGGCTTTGAGTTATCTCTGTAACATGAATGGTCCTAATCATATTTTCCAGAACCAATACATTTTGGTTTTTAGTTTTGATTTCATGATGATTAAATCAGCCCTGGGCTGGCTTTTGTGCAAGCTCTGGCCGTGTCATGGCCGAGGCTTCACCCAGTGTAGACTATTGTCTAGACTGAGGACATCTCCTCCACAGTGAATGAAGCGGCTGCTCTATCTGCCAGCGAACTGCCAGCTCCTCCTGGACCTTTGCCTACACCTAGTCTTTCCTAAGTGTCCCCTTCAGAGCTCCCTGTGTTCTTGGTTTTTCACGTGCCTTTCCTTTTCCTGGATGTGCTTCTTCATTCAGTTCATTTAAACTAAAACGATGAGGCATCGGTGTCCTCTGGCACTGTTGACTCCCACTCAGCCTTTCTGGCTTAAGTGCCCAAATTTGCATAAGCTCATCCAAATTCGTTCATTTAAACTAAAACGATGAGGCATCCGTGTCCTCTGGCACCGTTGACTCCCACTCAGCCTTTCTGGCTTAAGTGCCCAAATTTGCATAAGCTCATCCAAATTCTCTTTTGGTGCCATAAACAAATATGTCCCTAGATAACTACCTGCCCACAGAAGGAGGAGATGTATCTTTGGCCTCCAAGGCAGAAGCAGGTGAGGTGAGCGTGTGGGGCTGGGCACCCCTTGGGAGAGCAGTGGGACCTCGGCCAGGACTGTCCTGTCAGTCTTGGGGCCAGGCATGGTGCTCTGGGTGGGTGCAGAGGAAGAGCCAAGAGCCACTGAGGGGCACGCCATGTGCACCTCCTGTGTCTTCCTTGAGAGGTGAAAGAGATCGCCTGTCCCTGGAAGGCTGGAGCCCAGCGGGACTGGGGCCCTCAGAGGGTGTGGACCTTTGCATCTCTGGATTCAGCAGATACCATGGGGCGAGGGCTTTCTAATTAAGGCATCCCGGAAAAATGGCACTTGCTTCTCTGTGCTACTCTTGCCATGCATGGTTTAGGAAAGTAGAATCCCCGCTGTGACAAAGCCATAAGGAACACTTAGAGAGACGCAGGAAGCAGGTGCCGGCGACATCCTCAGACTGCAAATTCATGTGCCTACAATTTCGTATTGTCTTCGAGCAAGGACTGTGTTTTTTCCTAGTAGCGGGGAGCTGTGCTCACCGAGGTTGGTGGAGGGTGCTGGGAATGTAAGGGCTGTAGCTGTGTAGACCAGCGTCTGCACAGTGAAGTCTTCCCGCCACAGGTTCTCATGTGATGGTGCACGAGACTCATCCATTCACAGAACTGTGCCACCGCGCCACTCTGACTAGCTTGTGTAGGTGTAGTCTCAGACCTCGGCAGGGTGAATGCATTTTACACATTCTGACTAAGTCGGTTGGGTTTGATTTGAATTCTGGAAGAAAATAAAAAAGAGCAGGAAGTCAAAGAGGCCTGTGAGTTAGCCAGAAACTTCTCTTCAGTTGAAGACAAGAGTGGAAATCTCTGATATCTACCTGTTCAGGATCTGTACACCACTAGGGACAGCCCCAAGGCCTGGCGAGTGTGGTATCTGGTAAGGGGGATCAGCACGGCTGTTCTGCAGAAGCTCCAGCAGCTCCTGTGCACACGTGCTGCTTCTGCGTACACCACTAGGGACAGCCCCAAGGCCTGGCGAGTGTGGTATCTGGTAAGGAGGATCAGCACGGCTGTTCTGCAGAAGCTCCAGCAGCTCCTGTGCACACGTGCTGCTTCTGCGGAGGCGACGTGTGGCCCTGGCTGTGGGCCTGAGTCACCGGAGGGTGGGTGTGGGGCGCGGCTGGTGTCAGGGAGCGGCGCATCTTGGCGGCAGTGTTCCAGTCTGCTTCGCAGGACATGCACATCCACAGGGCAGGGTCAAGGTGCCCGTTGCCACCCGTGTCATCTCAAGTCATGCTTCCGTCCCGGAGGTGGGCAGGGGGTCTGCGAGGAGTGACGTGTTTTTCTGGCTCAGGCCTGGCACTGAGTAGGACACAGCCACCGGTGGCGGGGGCTCTGTCACCAGGGGGACACTAGACAGACACTCCCTGTGGTGCCTGCTGGCTCTGTGGTTGGAGGAGGAGGTTTTAGAATAATCCTGGGAGGTCAGAACATTCTGACTTTTGAGTGAAAATTTCTCCTTTGCATCAGTGGCTCCCCTGCCCTCACACAACTGTGTTTCTTTCCCTCTTTCTCCTGCCCTCTCTCCTCTCTGCTGCCCATCGCGTGCTCAGGGTCCAGTGCCGCAAAACACTGTTCTTAACACGTAGGCCATCTTTCCCTCAAGAAGTCAAGGGAAGCCAAGCCCCGTGCTGGGAAGGCCAGCACACGACCTGTCCATGCAGGGTCGTGTCGGGCTCTACCCATCAGCAGCCCCACTCGGGAGGGGAGCAGCCACCGCCCTCCGTGGTCCCCAGGGTGCGGGAAACGAGCACTCACCTCCTGTGTCTCCGGCTGCTCCATGAGGGTGGTTTCTGAGTGTGGCTTTTTCTTTGGGCATCTCCAGAGCTGCAAGCGTTTGCTCACCACAGCCGTCCCCTGCCGAGGTTCCAGGTGACTCTGTGCTTCGGAGAGGAGTTTCCAGACCCGCAGAGGCAGAGGAAGCTCATCACAGCTCATGTGAGTACTCAGTCACTCTCACCTCACTGAGCCCCCCTGTTCTTTATCAAGAGCAGAGTCCCATTTAGAGAAGTCCCAAATGAAAAGTAAATGGCAAGTGACTGGGAAAATAAATGTACTCTTAAAATAGTGAGGGAGGAAGTGTGGTCCAGCGAACAGCACAGCCCAGGGTCCTGCCTGCTGTTCCCAGCCCCAAGACCCGCTCATCACAGCACCGGGCAGAATCCTCCACACCTGGCCTTCACCTGTCCCATCTTTGTTATTTTTCAGGGAAATTGTTGTACTCCCACTGTGTAGGGATTTAAAAGGATTGATGCTAACAGTTGCCCTTTAATATTCTGCATGTCAACTATTGTTCTAAAACTGTTGTCTAGGTAAAGGATCTTCACTTAGTGGAGAAGCTTTCCCCGAATGCAGTGCCGTCCCTCACTCATGCATTGTGTAGATCCCCTCCATACGTTCCCCAGCCTCTCTTTTATTTCTGGATCTTTAGAAATTATTTAATTAACGGACATGTTATGCAGAGGAAGCTAAATCTTTCAAGGAATTCAAGTAGATGAGACCCTCCTAATATTCTCTAGCATAGTTTAAGATATGTCCAACTGTGGCAAGTGAACATCTTTTTCATAAAAAAGAAAAGGAAAGAAAGTTTATGTAGATAACATTTAGCATTAATTCAGCATAGAAAATAGAGCCTTGAGTACCTAAGATTTTTTACTTTGAAAACTTTGCATTGCTACATAACCTTCAAGAGTTATTAATGGGCCCAGATAGTAAGCAGTGCCAGGTAAAAAATTATACCCCATAATACCAAAATTCAGACCAGATCTTAGCTCTGATGATATTTCTTATTGAAAACTGAAATAGGGCTGGCCCGGTGGCGCACTGCTACAGTGCGCCGCTTGGGAGTGCGGCGGCGCTCCCGCCGAGGGTTCGGATCCCACATACAGACCGGTTCCCGCTCACTGGCTGAGCGAGGTGCGGGTGCAACACCGAGGGTTGCGATCCCGTTGCCGGTCCAGGTCCGGTACAGGCGCGACACTGAGGGTTGCGATCCGTTGCCGGACACGAAAAAAGACAAAAAGGAAAAAAAAACTGAAATAAAACACTAATCTTGAGCACACAACCTTCCCCTTCTTGATTGTAAAAACAAAAACGAATCAATAAACAAAAATGTAATCCCATAGACTTGAGAGTTTTCTCATGAATTCTTCCCTGATTGATATATAATAATCAATATCTTGTTGACAGTAGGGATTGTTAGATGACGCGATGGACTCGGCACTGATAAACAACAGTTAAGCGTTCTATCAGAAGCTTTGTATTCAGGGTTCTCTGGCTGCAGTTGCTCATGTGAGTTAGGCAGGGACGGGGTCCCCAGCAGGGCTCCCTGGGATGGTGTCGTGTGGTCTATAACAGGAAAACGTGCGTGCGTGCACCCATTAGTCCTACTCTTTTTTTTACTATGGGCTTATTTTGTTGGTGTACTTTCATAGGAGTTATGCTTATGCGGTTATAAATCAAACAACATTAAGGTTCAATTTAATAGCACAATTGATTGACTGGCAGTGTTCAGCTTGTCTCAGATGCTGTAAATTCAGGAAAAGCTGAAGGTTGGGGTTTTTTGTTTGTTTTGTTTTTTTGGTGAATGTAATCCATGCTAGTAACCAAAGTAGATAAATTTGGGACCAATGAACTTCTTTTTTTCCCACAATAGCAGTTTTGTTGTTTAATTTTTTCTTCCTTTTCATTTAATTCTAATTCTTTTAACTCGAAACCTGTGGTTTAGAATTATACAGATTACCTGGGAACTGAGTAATCTGGGAGCCCTTCCTCCCTACCAAACTGCCATTGTGGAAAAACAAATTCATTGGCCTAAATTACCCTGAATATTACCTCAGACTTTCTTTTCATTTGATTATTTTACTTGATTTGGTTCAGTCTTAGTTAAATGTAAATTTCAAGTTGCAGTTGATTTAAAAAAATATCCTCTTTAACTTTAACCCCAATTGAAACCCAGAATTAAGTAGATTCTGTTTACAGCTTGCTCTGTGTAAGGACAAACATTAGTTCTTCACATGGCTCCAAATATGAAATGTTTTGTTTCTGTTTCTGTGGCTGGCTGGTACTGAGATCCAAACCCATGACCTTGGCGTTACAAGACTGTGCTCTAAGCAACTGAGCCAAACTGGCCAGTCCAAATATGAAATGTTTTGATTGTTATGGTATGTATAACTTTGAACTTAACTTTACCGTCCCCTTAGAATTTGAGAGTTATTTGATAATGAGCCAATTACAGGATGTTAAAAGAATACCTCAGTAATATCTTCTTAAAATCTCTCGTTAAAGGTGGAACCTCTGCTAGCCAGACAACTATATTATTTTGCTCAGCAAAACAGTGGACATTTCCTGCGGGGCTACGATTTACCCGAACACATCGGCAGCCCAGAGGATTATCACAGATCTATCCGCCATTCCTCCATCCAAGAATGAAAAACGTCAAGATGAGTGATTTTGTTTCATTGTAAATAATTGACCAGGTTCATCACCTTCTTTTGCTTTTGAGGGACCCAGAAATGGGGGCCTCAGTTCCACAGTCTAATAGAATTGCAGCAAGATCAAGTGTGGAGAATCAGGTGCCCTTGATGACAGATGAGCCTGTTGCAGGAGGAATGGCCACCTTCCAGACCTGACAAGTGATCACTGCGTGCTCTGCAGACTGCTGTCGCTGTGGATAACTGTGAAGGCTGACCCGGTGTGTTGACATGTGCTTCAGTGCCGTCTTTCATTTGGCGTAGGCTAGCTCTTGCATGAAAACTGAGAAAGCTTGGCTTCAGCACTGACCGCTGACCAGGGTGAGGAAGGCACTTAGGTGTGTTGCACCATTTCTCAGGGAACGAAAGTCTGAATCAGAGACGACTCTACCCACAGAAGAGGCGTGTGAACGTGAGTAGCAGCCGTAGGTCTGTGGAAGATGCTTGCTGAGTGAAGGACACTGAATCTGTGACCGAGGTGGGCCAGGCGCCTGTGGCCTTAGGATGGCCTCTCTCCCCACCTGCCCAGGGTTCCTCCGGTGGCCCCGCTGTCCCCTCCCTCCCACCTGTCCCCCCTTGGCTTTTTCTCCTTGGCCTGCCCTGGAAGCCAGTTGGCAGACTCTTGCTGTCTTCTGGAGCCAAAAAGCATTAGGGCTGCTCTTGGGATGGACATTTTTTTCTGTTTCAGAAGAATTTTTTTGTTTCTTTGTCTTTTTCTTTCTCTTTCTTTAGAAATTATTGCTAAAACTTTTTCTTAAGGAAGAACGAAAAAGACAGAAGATCATTTTTTCTGTTTCAGAAGAATTTTTTTGTTTCTTTGTCTTTTTCTTTATCTTTCTTTAGAAATTATTGCTAAAACTTTTTCTTAAGGAAGAACGAAAAAGACAGAAGATCAACGGTCCAAGTGCTAAAGATACATTTTTAAAACTGTGTGACATTTCCCCTCTTCCGTTTGTTTTGTTTGGCCATCAGTTAGTTATCCATGGCGACACTAACGAGGAGGAGCCAGTGAGCCTGGGCTGGTGAATTCTGTGGGGACACATGGCGGCAGGCCTGGATTGATTGCAAAACTGCAGACTCGGGGGCTGTTTCTGCTTATTTTGTATATTGTATGCTTCCTCATGGCAGTAATAGTTTGACAGGGCCTTCAGTACTCAGCTCCTTCCAAATACATCTTTTTATAGAACCCAAAGATCTCCACCTGCTTAAGTAAACCTGGTCGCTTACTTTTTTGTTGTTGGTTGTGGAAAAGTACAGCTGTTCAGTTAGACCGGGGTGTTGCACTCTGGTATTTTTCTCATGCTACAGAATATTTGATACTACTTCCAGGCTCAGCAAAAACTTGATTGTTCTCAAATATATGCCATTCTTACACTAAATTTTTTAATCCATTCAACAGGCACATATTAAGTGCCTACTGTATAGCCCTTGATTACGTAGAGTACAGCGTAATTTACCAAGTTTAGTAAGCAATGAAGCATGGGAATGTTTCTTTTTTCTTATTTTTAAAAGGGGCTTTTAATACTAATATAATACTTACTACAGAAAATGTAAACAGTATAGAACAGCCAAAAGTAAAAAGCATCTCCTTTTTACCCAGCCCACATTCTCCTCCCCAGAAGTAAGCATAAGAGGCATTCAGTTTATTCCAATACATTTTCACCTTTCTGTAAATACACATGAATCTTTATTAAAAAAAAAAAAAACTTTATAGGATCATTGTGCACACACTTTTATGTGGTGCTCCTTGTATCTAACAGCGCTGGTTTACCTCGTTCTTTTTAGAGGAGTTTCTTTCTTTTTTTTTTTTTTTCTTCCCCTTTTTGTCTTTTTTCGTGACCGGTAACTTTATAGGATCATTGTGCACACACTTTTATGTGGTGCTCCTTGTATCTAACAGCGCTGGTTTACCTCGTTCTTTTTGGAGGAGTTTCTTTCTTTTTTTTTTTTTTTCTTCCCCTTTTTGTCTTTTTTCGTGACCGGTAACAGGATCGCAACCCTCGGTGTCGTGCCCATACCGCGACCGGCAATGGGATCGCAACCCTCGGTGTTGCGCCTGCACCGTGCTCAGCCAGTGAGTGGACCGGTCTCCATATGGGATCCAAACCCTCGGCGGGAGCGCCGCCACACTCCCAAGCGCCGCACTCAACTGAGTACGCCACTGGGTCGGCCCATTTTTAGAGGAGTTTCTGTAGAATTCCATTGAATGTGCCTGGTAGGATTTGAGATATTTCATTAGCTACTCCGCATGGATACATTTGAGCAGCAGATTGCCTTGTGAACTGCAGTAATTTATACATCTTATAGATGCAAAGTATTTTAGGATATATTATCCTGAGGGAAGGTGAAGACAAAATTAGGGACTGCTGTTTCACGGGCACCTCCCCCCGCCCCAGCATGTGGCCCTCTTCGCTGGACAATATTTAGCCTAACCCAGCACTTCAAAGAGGATGTCTTTGGAGTCTGTCGCAGGGTATCACGTCTTAATCCTCCAAGCAGATGCCTGATTTCACTGCTGTGTTGATTTCACTGCTGTGTGAATTCTTTTCTTTTCTTTCTTTTTCTTTCAACCTTACACTGCTTTAACAGTGGAGCTGCATTTTCTGGAAAATGCTTGCTGGCTTGGACCACTACCTCTTTTTCTTATCTTTACAACCTACATACGTTGGCTTTTTTAATTTGGAGGGGCCCAGAGTGTGTGTGAGGGAATGGAGTGCTATGGTTAACTATGAAATGATCAGGGTTAAGAATCCTCCCAGCTGTCTCAGGACGTTGAAAAGGAATGGCTTCCTCATTCCTTGTCTTGATAAAGTGGGATTTGCAAACTAAAATTTAGTTTGTCCTCAATGGAAGATGCTGTTGAAGAATTTAGGTATTTGTTATGCTAAAGAGCCTTGGATCACAGGGCAAAAACTATATAAGCCTCATGGGTGCATGTTCTTGGTTTATTCCTTGTTTCTAAGATTTCACATATTTTGTAAAACCTTGGCCAGTAATTAATGTCTTCTGTAACACTATAGAGAATCAGGTGACTAACTCATTTACAACTAAAACCTTAGAACCCTCTCAGTCCCAAGCAAAAAGGATGCTTAGTCACCCTATGGAGAACCCAGCTAGACTACTTCGGTTTGAGCTAAACAGTGGCTGCTTCACTGTGAGAAAAAAGTAAAACCCTGCAGTGGGTGAATAGCACTTCCAGTGTGTCAGCACTTACGTGTGTGTATCTAGAGTTTGCGTCAGGCCTCGGCACAGAGGAGGTTTCCTTGTCCTGCTGAGGCATCGTGTTTAAGCCCCAAGCTGGAGGACTAGGGGATCTCAAGTGCTCGCGCATCCTGCGCACCAAGGAAGGCTCTTTTTGGGGGGGCATCAGTTACTTTTTAGTAAAAGTCACATGCTTCTGCTTCCCCACAGGTGAGTGTTTTTCTGGCAGTGAAATTCCTGCCGGTCTGTGTTGTTAGGACACATCTCCCCAAATCACTTGTGGTGGCTGCACCCGTCTGCTTATTGCTGTCAGGTTTGCTACTGTGCATATTGTTTTGCAAGCCACTTCTTCACACACCCAGTCCGTGAGAGCGAGCCCTGTCCACGCAGGTGGACCTCACCCTTCCCCTGATAATTGTTCTTGAAGAGTCTGTCACACGCATGCAGTGAAGGTCAGTTTTCCTGGTGTTTATTTTCACTGCTGTGGGAACGTGCACATGAAGTGTAACCGCAGTGGCGGAGGAGAGCATGGAGGTGGGGGAGACAGAAGGGCCAGCAGGCCCGGCCTCCACCAAGGCAAAGTCCGATTTTGCTTCAGACTCTGTGAGAGGGAAGGTGGTGGGGCTCACTTCCTCCCCATCGCCTTCCCTGCACACCACTTTCCGGTGCGGTGCATGGCCTGCTGGTGGCTAGAGCCCTGCAGGTCCACCGGCCCGACCCCGCGCTCTGCTGGTTCCACCGCATTGCTGAGACTCGCAGGCAGAGGCCTCAGGAACTGGGAAAACGTTCTGTGGACAGTGCTTGTGTGTATCACCGACTTTGACATAAACTGCTTATCAAAGCAGATGGCTATGTGTGCTAAAGTAATGTTTTTAGATAGCTGATAAATAAAATCTTCGAAATTTTTCTTATGGAGTGTGTGTATCATTAAACGTTCAGCTTGATAGCTTTCAAGTACTTCCTCCTTCTGGGCCGGTTTTTCAGTGAGACTGCTTCAGCAGCCTACTTCCTTCCTGGTTGTCATACGTGTCCCTGAAGTCAGATTTCAAAGTGTTCAGCTTGTTTAAAGAAAACTGCAAAGGCTGTTCAAAAGTGTTGGGCGGTCCTTCCAGCACATGTGACACGTGCAAGGAGAGCACTTTGTCCTCCTCCCCTTCGTGCCTGCCTGCTCGTCCTCCACCTGTGTTTCAAAGGTCTAGTAGACCCAAAGAAGTTATTTGTAACGTTTCCTCTTGTATTCAAAGCTCCTGATTTTTCCGTTGCTGTCTGAGGGGAGTGGATGTAGGTCTCCACCTGTGTTTCAAAGGTCTAGTAGACCCAAAGAAGTTATTTGTAATGTTTCCTCTTGTATTCAAAGCTCCTGATTTTTCCGTTGCTGTCTGAGGGGAGTGGATGTAGGTTGACCAGCATTCACTGGCACTCTGAACGTGAAAGTGTGGGACACCTGCTGAGAAACAGCACGGGGTTTAGATGGCATCCCTGGGGCCTGATGGCTGCTCTTGGCCTCAGCTTCAAATGCTTCCTCTCTGAGCAGTTAGGCATGGCAGGCTCCTCTCTCAGCTTTGTCTCTTTTGTGACTTACCCAGCAGCGTCTGGCAGGAAGACTGCTGCAGAAATGGTGCAGCTTGGGGGCTGGCCTGGTGGCACACTGCTACAGTGTGCCACTTGGGAGCGCAGTGGCGCTCCCACCGAGGGTTCGGATCCCACATACAGACCGGCCGCTCACTGGCTGAGCGAGGTGTGGGCACAACACCGAGGGTTGTGATCCCGTTG